TGACGAATTAATTCAAGAAAATAGTTTTGAGAATTTATATTCCATCACTTTTTTTCTTAAGGATTAGTAGATTATGTGATATAACGCAAATAATAAATTAAAAAATATGACATATTAATTAATAATATGTTTATACCTAAAATTTTATGTAGAAAATAAATAGTAACAAATATTATGATTTAAATGCGTTCGCTTTTTTTATATCGCTAGTCTTGTATACACGATTATCTTTTTATTCGTCATATTAACTAGGTAAGGAAATTATCTTAAATGCGCTTACTTAACCAAAAAGATAAACTTAAAAAATAAAAACAGCAGTATGACTGCTTACTTCTTATGAACTTAAAATAAATTACAATAATAACAATTACTGCTTTTTTCCACTAAAAACTTTCCTTTACGTCGAAACATAAGACTACAAACTGCAGCACGGCTGTAACATAAGAATTATTACTTCTTTCTTCCACTAGAATATTTTCATTGCACCGGGACGTAAGATTTGATACAGCGGCGCGGGAGTAGACAGCGGGAACATAAGCGTGAATACGTCGATGCAGGGGGGAGGGGGCGGTGCGTATCCACGCGCTTGACAGTCAGTGCCCGTTTCTAGGTCAAGGTAATAGCTGCGTTTACGCATTTGCAAAAACAAAACAACAACAATTGAGTGGTTTTTCTTCTTATTTTAAAGTAAAGTGACCTGAAAATGTATAACCGGACACAGCACAGTAGGGCGAGAAGAATTTTGAAGTTAATAGGTAAGTACATTTAGATTTAATTCTTATAAAAGCTAAAAATAAATTATTCCACAATGACGTGTTTACTGTATAATCAATAACATTGAGCGACTGTCGTCCGACCTTTGTAACCGGAACCAAAACAATATCGTGGTTACACATTCTGAATGAATGAAGGTGCAGTTTCCTCACGATGTTTTATCTTACCGCCAGCTAGTGGTTCAAGTAGTATGTAAGTGCGCTAGACAATTACAGCAATCGTCTGGTCTCAAACTAGGGGAACCTATATGAATGATTCGCTGTCTATTATTATAAAATTAATTTCTGTTACTAACGTGTAATTTTATTTCTAATTTGTAAAGACATACCATAGATGTTATAACAAAATGTGTATTTGTAAATATTTATATTAGGTACATGATACTTTCAAAATCGTTAACTAGGTATTATTGTTTAATCTATACTAATATTATAGAGAGGTAATA